GAGAACCAACCCTCCCCTTGTGAAATCACCAGAGGTTTGAAAACTTCCAGGGAGTCTCATGCAGATGAGTGGTTGTCTTTTTTCATAATGACATAAACTTACAAGTGACACGTTTTTTACAGAGGTACACCAAGGCAGATACACATGCACTCAAATAAGTTAGTATCACCCTCTTGCCTGGCTTATCTGCAAACACAAGGACACGTGGAAATTCAGTAGAAGTAAGAAGTGGGAGATGATGTATCTCAGGCTTATTGAGATACAGGCCCAGCCATTGATTCATTTACCTAGAAAACACCCAGGTAGAAAGCATTTCATCGGAGGCAGCAAGAGCCAGGGAAGGGTCCAAATATTTGGCTTTATTCCCAGCTCTGTTGGTCACTAGCTGTGTAACCTTGGGCAAGCTATGTTGGAGCCTCAGTTTCCTCATCTGTAAAATGGAAATAAAGTTGGCAAAGATTAAAAGAGATGGCAAAAGAGAAGTGGAAATGCTCCATATACTTGCAAAATATAACACAGGTTAGATTAGAGTTAATTACAAGAATGGTCTCGGGAAAGCTGCTTAATTCTCTTGGTTTCATTATCCCATCTGTCAAAATAGGAATAAATATTTACTGTGAAGGTTAGCACAGTATTTGGAAAAGTCCAGTAAATCCAAGTGAAGTATTATAATACTATTAATCTTTGCCGTTAGTAGCAGTGGTGACAGTAATGAAAGTGATGGTGGCAGTGTCCTTGGGAGCCATTAGGAAATTTCTACTTTCACCACATTCAAATATTTTTTTCCCAACCTGGCCCAACCTGGGGTTCCGAATGCCAGCAGGCTGGCTGTCATATTTATGGCAAGTGATAAAACCCCTGGAGCCAGGTCAGCAAAAGAGGGAGTTTGAAATAAAGAATTAAGAGACTCAGCCAAGGGCAGAGGCACAGCCAGGCTACAGAAACAGAAGGGAATCAGGGGCTAGAAGACTGTGGAAGACTGTTAGAAACTCAGGAAACCCTCTCTCAAAATTTCTTTTCTTGGAGTATCTACTTCATCTTTCTCTCCCTAGAAGCAATTGGTAGCCACTACCAACAGCTCTCAGATTTAGACCCTCTCTGGCCAGGATTTCTTAGTCCCAATCCTAAATTCCCAGGAGAAGGAGCTCATTGGCTTGGCTGGAGTCAGGTGTTCACCCCTGAACCAATCAATCACCAGTGGCCAGAACACTACCCAATCAGCTGTGAGGACAAAGTACAGGCAAATGTGGCAGTTCCCATAGCAACAGTATGGATGGAGGGCAGAAAAGCCAGTAGACATTCACTGCACCTTTTTTCTTAGGAGTCCCTTTGTCCCTGTAACGCCTTCTCTCCGGTCTTATGCAGCCAACGGGGCTCTTCCCGACATCCTGCAGCAAGGCGAGCTGCTGGTTGTGGATTACGCCACGTGCTCCCAACCTAGTTGGTGGGGCAGCACCGTGAAGACCAATATGATCTGTGCTGGGGGCGACGGTGTGATCTCCAGCTGCAACGTGAGTGCTGGAAGTTCAGGTGCCCCCACCTCCACAACGAAATGGGGCTGAGGGTGGGGAGAGTCTCTGGGGGCCCTGGAATCCATCCTCCTGCCTGCTGGCAAACACATAGGGAAACAGCCCCACACATTTGAGACCCTGACCTTTGTCCTTGCAGTCTCCAGAAAAGATGTTTTGAGATTCTCCTAGCAGTAGTGTCCACCCCTCACTGCTGGGAAGACCTTCCTTGGGTCTCATTGAGGGCTCTCATTACTGTCAACTCACTTATTCTTTCTTCTGTATAAGAAGGGAGCCAAGGGGACATATTTGCTGGGCAAGGACCTTTCTAAGGTGACTTCAACTCTATCTGTTGAATTAATCCCATTCATGGCCCAATGTGTCCCTTCATGGTGGCTGTCACAGAGCCTTTCTGGAGACAGTGTCTTAACCAAAGGACTTGCTTTGCGGTGGACTTAGCAGCAGAGTGGGGACAGAGTGGGAAGGAGCTTCATTTGCCCTTCAGATCACACTGGCCCCTACAGTCTCTGCCCAGGCAGACCGGCCCCAGGAAACCCCCTCCACGGGAGGAAATGGCCGGTGGTGGTGGAGCGCATGGCATTTAACTCTGGGGCGTGTCTCAGCTCCTTTACTTACTGCCTGGACAACCTCAGGCAAGTCACAACCTCTGAGGGTTTCTGTTTTCCTCTTTAGTGATATGGGGATACTAGCAATACTCACCTCGCAGGTTTATGTGAAGATTAAATGAGGTAAGGCCTATAAAGTGCTTAGCTCCATTCCAGGCACACAGGAAGAATGACTGCTCGCTCTTGTTGGTGTTATGGGGCCATCTTGAGCTGTGACCACAGGGGCTGGCCTCAGAGAACATAGGGGCCCATGGTGGAACAACACAAACGCACTGCAGACATGGGGCTCTGACGGGCATCCCCTTCCCCTCCCGTCACCCCACCCAAGCTCCTGGGCCCATCCTGACAGAACTCTGGCCTTCCTCAGGGGGACTCCGGGGGGCCACTGAACTGCCAGGCGGCTGACGGCCAGTGGGAAGTGCACGGCGTGGTCAGCTTCGGGTCCTCCCTCGGCTGCAACTACTACCGCAAGCCCTCTGTCTTCACGCGGGTCTCCAACTACAACGACTGGATCAATTCAGTAAGAACCGGCCAAACCCTGAGCCCCGGGGCCCCGCCCTACACCTGGCCCCACAAGGGCCATGCCCACCTAAGGTCTGAGAACCCCTCCCTCCTCCTGAGAGCTAGGCAGGAGCCCCCTGGAGGAGGTCGCAGACTTAGGCAACCCCTGTGGGTGCCCCCTGGGGGCCCCCCACAACTTCTGTGTGAGTTGACTGAGAAGACACATAGAGGGTGGCCTTGTCCAAAGAGGCTGAAAACAAAGGTCACCCCTCAGGCACTAAGAGCAGGTTCCCTAGGATTCGTGGGGTTATTTTATTTTTGCTTATCCACTTGTAGGCCTAGTCCCCACCGTCCAATGCTGTATTTACCTGCAAAGCCCCAGACCTGGTCTTCTGAGACCCCCACAGCCTTGATTATTGGAAATAAGTCCTAAAGGGTCCTCCAGCTATTCTGTAGGGTCAGCGATCATCTCGGTTGGCCCTGGATTGGGAGGTTTCCTGGGATGCAGGACTTTGTTTTAGACCGAGATAGTCCAGGTAAATGGGACTGAGTTGGTCCCACTATGACTATGAATGTGTCCCCAGAGAGTTGCGTCCTGTGAGCTCAAAACCAGTGCCTTGCAGGGTGGGTACAGCTCAGTGGTAGCACATGTGCTCAGCATGCATGAGGTCCTGGGTTCAATCCCCAGTACTTCCATTAAAGAAAAAATACATAATAAAATTATTTTTAAGAAAAAACAGTACTTCATAATCTTCCACACCAGCTCAATTCCTATTTTTTAAAACCATGAGTATACATTCATTTATAATAAAAATTTTTAAAAAGGGGTGAGGGTATAGCTCAGTGGTAGAGCACCATGCTTAGCATGCACAAGGTCATGGGTTTGATCCCCAGTAACTCTGTTAAATTTAAAAATAATAATTAATAAATAAATATACCTAATTACCTCCCCTCCAAAAAACAAAGAAACAAACAAAATAATAAATTTTTAAAGAGTGCTAAAAAAAAAAACCCAAAACACCAACACCAATCTTGGGAGCAGCCACGGATACAATCAGCAGTTGGTGGAAGCAGCCAGAACAGGGCGTCTTCACAAGAAGGCAGGCCTGGGCGAGGAGCCTGGGGGAGGGAGGAAGAGGCATCATGCCTGGTGATGGATGCTGGGGAGGGGGACACTCTGTGCCGATTGGGGACACTTTTTACCCACCTCCCAGCATTGCCACCACCTCAGTTTGCTCTTCTATTAAATGGGACGTGAACTAGATCAGGGCTCACCCACTTTTTTAAGAACCAGAGCAGGTGGGAGTTATGATGCTTGTGACAGAGCCCCAGAGAAGGGAAAGCTGGCATCTGATTTCATCATTTTAAGTTTAATTTGCAGAGAACTGTTTAATTAAATCAAACTGACACTCCACTATCAAATCAAATATGATACCACAGCCGTGAGCATGTGGTCCCAGGAGGAAAATGACACTGTCAAATGGGCACTGTCAAAATAAGCAGGTGGCTGGCTCCAAGTTTTCCCATTCATATTTGCTGGCTCCTTGTTCATTTGTCTGTCTGCTGGCATTGCTTTGCCAACAAGTGGTCACAGGCACCAGAGATTCCAGAAAAGTTTGTTGGAGAAAAATGTAAAATCAAGAAGAGAGTGGCCGTTAATTTACGAGGTTTTTCTGGCCCATTGGGGAAAAGCTTTGATCCCGTTTTGGCAGAGGAGAGCCTGAGCCCAGCTCTGGAGGTGCCACCAGCAATTCAAAGGAGCCTGGCCCAAGATGGATTGGATGGAATGACGCTTAGGGCCTATTCCCAGCCAAATCCTAGGATCCTTTCCAGCCCCAGCTGCTGCGTGAGTCACCAGGCAGCTGGTCCTGGCAGCACCTTGGGGGCCCAAGGCAGGGACCGGGAGCAACTGTCCTGTCTTTTGGTCCAAGCATCAGCTGTTCCCAGCCACAGACACAAGCACAACAGAGCAGGCCTCAGCCAAAAGCCCGGCCAGATGTCAGAGGGGATCAATAGGGAAAGCAAGGCTTGCGAAGCAGCTGGGTGGAGGCCCTGTGTCCACGGGACAGCAGCCAGGGCAAGCACATGTGCCCGTAACAGGTTCCAGGAACGGCAGAGCCAAGCAGCCAGCTGTCCTCTGGTGGAGGCTGCCCGGGCAGCTGCAGAGGGGCCGGTGAAACCTTGCAGTGGTCCCAGCCCAGGGGCACATTGTGTGCGGCCTGGAGTCCCAAACCCAGACAGGTGACGAGCCAAGGTTAGGAAGCTGCCAACAGAAGGCAGGAGCAGGGAAGCGACCAGACACAGGTGGCGAGGGGCATTCATCCTTTCAACAAATGTTCGCTGAATGACAGCAACACAGGAATCGTCAGCATTCACCAGCTTTATTTTTACCTTTATTTCAGAAAGTTAATACATACTCACAGTAAAAATATAATATAGGAGTGTATCAAGTAAAAAAGTAGATGCGTAGATGCCCCCCGTCGTTTTGCATCTCCAGTTCTACCCCCCAGAGAGAATCACTGTCAACAGCTCGGTGTGTGGTCTTCTGGACTTTATTTGTGTGCATCTGTAAAACGTCTACCTATGTACATGTAAACCAAAAACAGAATTTTCCTCTTCATACTGTTCTGCAACTTAGCGTTTCCACTTAACACTGTATCACATCTTACAATGTGGGCCCAGATATCTGTGTCGTTCTTTTGAACAGCGAAGTGATAGTCCATAGCATGAAGAGAATGAGTGAAGCTTTCATCTGTTTCCTATCTTCCACTCCCACGTGGCTGCAGTGAACACCCTTGGACACACACGCTTGCACACGGATCTGGGTATCCGTGCTACAGAGGTCCAGCAGCATCACTGGATCATGGAGTTGGCGCGTCCGAATGTTCAGCAGATACCGCTAGACAGCCTCTGAAAACAGGTTACAGCCCCACCCACAGCGCATAACGGTGCCTTGCAAACAGCTGTGGTTGTTAACCATTTCAGGGCCCCCAAACTTTTGAGAAACACATGAAATCTACAACCATGCCCATCTATACTCTCGGCATATAATTTTTAAGAGCTCCCAGGCCCCCCGCCCTGAAGCCCAAACAAGACTGCAGGCTCAGACCCCTCTTTACAGGAAGCACCAACAAGTCAGTGAAAAGCTGTGATGACATCCTTTTCTCCAGGGCATCATTAGACCCACCCCGGGGAAGAGCTGCTTCATGGAGGGCTGCCTGATTCACACGGGCAGTGCAGAGTAGGGAAGGAGAAAGCCAGGAACTTGCAAAAGCATGGCTCTGCTCTGCTGGGTTAACCTGATTATTTTTTTGTCTGTGTCCTGCAGGTGATTGCAAATAACTAACCACCAGAAGGCCCCGGGACTGTTTTAGACTTGGAAAGGTCACAGGAGGAAAATAATAATAAAGTGACAACTATATGAATCATATCTTGGCAAGAGTCTTATTAGCAAACCATCCTCCCATCCGGGGCCCTGAAAGCAAGAGAACAGGCCGGGGTCTGGACAGCTTAAAGGCCTCGGAGTGGGGCCTTCTCTGGGGAAGCCCATCTCACGGTCACACAGCAGTCACCCTGCGGTGCAGGGGTCCTGCAGCCAGGAAGACACCTCGGGGCACAGGCTGGACTCAGAAGACCGAGTCTGGCCAGGTCTCTCGACTGGTTAGTTGTGTCCCCTGGACAAGTGACTTAACCTCCCTGAGCACACAGCTCCCACCCCAGTCACCTTCCTGGGATGGGGTGAACATCAAAAGAAATGAGATGGGGAAATGTTTCCAAAAAAGCAAAAGTCTCCTTTATAAGGAAGAATAAAGAGTTGGAGCAAAATGAGGGGCGAAATAGGTAAAAGAGAACCCATATTCACGTAAGACTTTTTTAAGAATACTGCAATACAGAGAAAGTTGGTAATTCTTAAAACATCGTTTAGGATTCACAGATTCCAGCTGTTCAGACTCCAGTAGCCCCAAACTGCTAAGAGAGATGCTGGTTTGTCACCAACATTTCCTGTAGATCAGTTGTTCTCCAGTGGGAGTCCACCAGGGAAAGCTGGCAGTGTCTGAAGACATTTTTGGCTGTCACTACTCGGGGAGACGTGCTATTGGCATCTGCTGGGCAGAGGCCAGGGGTGTTGTTAAGCATCCCACAGTGCACCAGATGGTCCCTGCAACAGAGGACTATGTGGCCCCAAAGGTCAGTTGTGCTGAGGTTGAAAAGCCCTGCTCTAGAGAAAACAGAGGTCACGGGCCACAGCCACGAGCCAGGAATGGGCCACTGGCAAAGAGCCCCGTGGTGTCCACAGCGTTCTGCTCCTCTTTCTCCATCGCCGGTCATTTGGCTCCAATTTGGAAGCTGCCAGGAGCCTGTCTGCCACCAGTGAGGAAAAAGCAGGTCCTCTACGGGCTACAGAATCCTTCAGCGCGTGTCAGCCACAGATGTGCGAGAGTCTAGGCCTCAGCCGCCGCCAGGCCTGGAGCAGGAAGGTTCGGGGTGAAAGCTAAGGCAGGGCGAGGGGCCCTGGCCTCATTACGTTTTAAAGAAAAGTTTTTTCCGGAGGAAATTAAAACAGCCAGGAATCTGTTTGTAAATCCCTTTCACCGAAACAGCATTAGCAACCTGTGAAAACAGGACCACGGGGAGGCCTGTGAGTTCTCTTGACTGAAGTAAGAATTCCGGGGGGGGGGGGTCGGGCATCCACTGAGGCAGCACTTTATCTGTTTGGGGTTTTAGGTTTTTGTTTTTGTTTTTGTTTTTGTTTTTGTTTTTTTGAGGGGGGAGGTAATTAGGTCCATTTATTTATTTACTTTAATGGAGGTCCTGGGGATTGAACCCAGGACCTCGTGCATGCTAAGCACGTGCTCTACCCACTGAGGTATCCCCTCCCTTCTGAGCCAGCACTTTAAAACCAGCTCTACTACAGCCTCAGCCTCCTTGAGACAGGAGGAGAGAGATTGTGTGTGTGTGTGTGTGTGTGTGTGTGCATGCGAGCGTGTTGGGGGGGTGGTCAGGGGCATGAGTTACAGAACAAGCATCTCAACCACAAATCTGGAAAACTCAAAATTCAAAATTTCAAAATTCAAAAATTCACTAAGTTCAAATCAGATTGAAAGGTTTGCCTGAAGAAAAGCTGAGAGAAGAGCTGGGGCCCAGGAGCTGAGTGCACGGCTGAGCCCTGACAGCCCGGCTGCCTCTGAGGCTCACTTGCCGCAGCCTCGGCTCGTGGTGCCCACCCCATCCCCCAGAGTCATGCTGGGTGGTGGCCCTGCACCGGCTTTCTTCTCTCCTCTGCTCTGCTCAGCAAAGTACACAGCCGGAACCTGCCCAGGAGGAAGGAGCGGTCCCGGCCCTTAAAGCCCCTTCTCCCAGCACAACACACCTGAGCAGAGCAGGAGGGGCCCACGTGCGCTCTGAGACCCTCGGAGGAAGCACCTGCTCTGAGCGGGGCCGGATCTGGCCATCCATCCCTGTCCTCTCTCACTGGGGCCTCCCAAGAAGGGTATACACTGAAGAGAGGTTCATGGTTCTTGAGGGTCAAGATTATGTGGTGAGGCAAAGAATACACGACCCATGACCTGCCTTCAGGGGCCATGCTGAGGCCACTGAGCCACCCCGCCCTGGCCCTGGGGACTGGCTCCATCAGCAGGGGAGCGTAAGCCTGGGGCCTCAGAGGCTGGGAAAGGCAGCCCTTTGCTAACAGGCAAACATCACGCAGGCAGTAACTTCTGGCATTAAGAGGAGCAAAAGCTCCTGCTCTCAGGGGAAGCCCGGGTGCAGAAAGCCCTGTTCACCTCCACCACCCGCCTCGTGGAGGACACACGGCCCCTCCCCGCAGCCTCACCCTGAGCAGGAGAGTCTGCAGGTCCTCACAGTGGGCCCACTGCTCAAAAACACTGTCCAGGGTCTCGATGTACCAGGAGCCGCTCTTGGTGTCCCTCCAGGAGACAAAACCTGTAGAAGGACAAACGCTGAGCTGTTTGGGGAGCTGCCCTGCCCCCCGCACGCAGGCAGGCCCACCTCTGGACCCTGACTGAGGTACACAGCTGGCAGCAGCCCACAGCTCTGTGCTCCATCCCATCCTGACCTTGCTTTATCCTCGCCACCCACTCTGTGACGTTGGTTGTGGTTCCTGTTTTTCCCAACAAGGCAACCAAGGCTCAGAGAAGTCAAATGACTCTCCCGAGGGGTGAGAAAGGAAGGAAACAAACACTCGTCACACCCGCTGTGTGCCAGGCACTGTGCTCAGTGGTGGGCCAGCCACCTTGTTCATCGCCATGATGAGCCCCGAGGTACACTTACTATTTCCATTTTAAAGACAAGAAGACTAAGGCAGGGCCAAGACAAGGGTGAGACGAGTGTCGCACGCCAACGCCAGGGTGCGTGTCTCCTAAAATTTTGCATTCTAGGCACTTTGCCTGCCCAGCCCTGAGCTGAGGCTCAGAGAGGTGAAGTAACTTACTCAGCGTCACACAGGCACCAACACCCAGGTCTTCTCTTCACAACACAGCTGCTCCTAGGGCAGATGAGGGGAACCGCTGGCTGGGAGGACAAGCCCTCCTGATCCCCTCACCTGGGAAGGTGGAGTAGGACACCAGGATGTCGCTAGGTGTTGGCAAACTAGACACAGCGTCCGGCTGGTCCACGGTGCCCGGGCCTTCCTGGAATGGGGTAGCGTCTGGCTCGGGGTCACTGTCAGGAGTCTGGCCTTCAGGGAAAGTGGAGGCCACCTCAAACCCATGATCTTTCTGCTCTGTGGGAAGCAGAAACAGATGCCCTGGTCAGTGAAATACCCAGACCGGAGCTCTCACTTCTCGGCACCATCCGGCCTGGGAACACCTGATTCCGTCTGGAGCCCAGGGGCCCCAGGGCCAGGCAAACATGAGCCGGAAACTGAAACAGAAGCTTTGCTGTTACTACAACAAAAGTTTTACATGTTCCTTAAATTAAGTTAGGGGGGAGGGCTGAGAATGCAGAAATTTTAAAAACAGCGATAAAAATAGAAACAAGTTATAAGGTCCACACCCAGAAGAACTGGAAACAGGTGTTCAAACAAGAACTCGGACAGCAACGCTCATCACAGTATTCACAACAGGTGAAAGGTGGAAACCACCCAAGGGTCCACTGACACACGACTGGATAAACAAAATGTGGTAGGAACATCCAATGAGATATTATCTGGGCTTTAAAAGGAATGAAGTATTGATACATAACACAACGTGGACGGACCTTGAAAACACGCAAAGTGAAAGAAGCCAGATACAAAGGGCCACAGAATACGATCCCATTTCTATGAGCTCTTCTGGAGAGGCAACTGCATCAAGAAGAAAGCAGATTAGCTCCACTCCAGGGAAGGGAGTGACGGCTAATGGGTGTGGAGTTTCTTCCCTGGAAGATAAACCGTTCTGGATTTACATGGTGGTGGCAGCTGCACAACAGGATGTATTTATTGTCACTGAGTTGTACAGTTTAAAATGATTTTTTAAAAATGTTTCTTCTGTAGAGCACAGGGGAATATATTCAATATCTTGTGATAACCTTTAATGAAAAAGAATATATATGTACATGCACGTCTGGGACACTGCTGTACACCAGAAATTGACACATCGTAACTGACTGTACTTCAATTTAAAAAAAAAGGTTAAAATGCTAGATTTTATGTCACTAAAAAACAAGCCACCCCCAAAAAGTCACATTATTCAGCCTTAAAAAGGAAGGAAATTCTGACACAGGTTACAACATGGATGAACCGTGAGGACATTACTCTGAGCGAAATAAGCCAGTCGCAGAAAGACAAATACGGCATGCTTCTACTTACATGAGGTGCCTAGATTAGTCCAATTCATAGAAACAGAAAACGGAATAATACTAACTACTATATAAAAAAACAGATAAAAAACAAGGTCCTATTATATAGCACAGGGAACTATAGTCAATACTTTGTAATAGTGTATAATAAAAAAAAGAAAAGGAATATATTTATATGTATAACTGAATCACTATGCTGTACACCAGAAATTAACACAACACTGTAAATCGACTATGCTTCAATTTAAAAAAAATCATGGTTTATGACACTGATGGCAGACACACACACAGTACTCCTGGGGTACAGAGCACCCAACCCAGGCCCTGAGGAAGACAAAAGAAGAAGATGGGTCCTGCTATCTGGGGGGCTAAACATCCAAACTGAAAAAAACCTATGCCCTCAATTTACATTGAGACTCGGATTCAAAAAAAAGATATAAAACCCATCTTTTTTTTTTTTGGTAGGAATATAGTTGAGGAAACTGTCCACTGTATCACAGCGTCCCCCCTAAGACAACCGAGGAGAGAAGAATTGCCAATCTTGGCTTCTGTCTTACAAATACCGAATCAGCAGATCTTAGGAAGGATTCTGTCTTACCCGATCTTGTCTCGGCTGCTGGGAAGCACGAAGCCAAATTGGCAGGCCCCCTCCAGCAAGCGTGCAGGACCTCACAGGATGCGTTTCTAGATGCCAAACTTACTCTTCTTCTCCCCTTGTATTTCTATTTCCTCTCTGTTTTGTTCTACTATATCATTTGTACTTTCTTAAACTATCTCAAACCCTTTTATGAAAACCAAAGAAAGCCACTAGTCATAGGTAACGGGATCCACGGAGATGTTTACGCCTCTGACCCAGTAATTTCCTAAGGAAATCATTCAAGAGAAGCCAAAAGCCCTCAATATAAAGACATTTGTGGTGATGTGAGCCAAAAATTGGATATCACCTCAATGGCCAACATTAGAGAAATGGTTTAGTAAATGAGTGCATATCACTAAAATTCAAGATCATAAAGCCATGTGAACTAGTGATGATGGGGACAGTGGAGACATGGGGAAACTCTTCAAGGATAATGTCTGATGAGAAAGGCAGGCCAAGATCCAAAGGTTAAGAGGCAAAATGAGACGGCCGGGTCAGGCTCACAGAATTCTGGATGGATTTTTTTTTAAGTTGTCATATTTCCTGTCTTTTCAGTTTTAAAACCCAAACTTCCCCAAAGCAGTGGTAGGCCTGGAAAACTGAGGGGGTGGGGCAGGACTGGGGCCACACACAGCTCAACCACAGAGCCATCAGGGTGGTGACACTGCAGGACGTCTTCTGGGATGAGCTCACTGCAGGGTCCAACTCCAGAAAGAAGGGGCTGAAAAGAGCTTCAGTAAAGACAGGCAGAGGGCGGAGTGGCCCAGAGGGGTCCTGAGGGGAGGGTTTCTGAAGCAGCGGATTGTGACCCAGGCTCCAATGGGAGAAGGAGGAACAGTCTTGGTGGGAGAAACAGCGCCTGTCAGGCAGGCCGGGGTGGGGGTGCGGAGCTGCATCCATGGTGGGTAACAGCAAGGAGGGAGGGAGGTCATGGTTCATCCAGGAAGCTGGGGTCCCATCTGCAGGGGACAGACAGGCCAGAGATGGCTCTGGAAACCCCATAATAACCCCAGCATCTACTGACCTCTCACCCCAGACAACTGAAGCTCATAAACACAGTAATTTGTGGTCTCACAGCCAATGTGCAGGGGACGAGGACTCTGCCATACATTTTTCTGCCTCTCAACTACCGTGTGGCTTCCCATGGAAGCCCCCAAGCCTGAAAAGGGGGCTGCTTAGAGCTGTGAAAGCCGGACTAACCTACAGTTTTCTCAGGTCACCACTTCCGGTTGTTTCTTTGTTGGTCAAGATTCTGGAATCTGCCCCGGGTGTCTGGGAATGATCTGAAGTGGGGCGAGGTCGGGGGGGACATAAGATGGGGCTTCCTGGGCAGCAGGGTACAGTGGGGGATGCTGTAGGGATGGCCTAAGGGGTGGGCAGAGGGACAGCCTATGACAATGGGGCAGAGACAACGGTCCAAGAGGAGAAGATGGGGGAACAGACAGAGGCTGCTAGCTGAGTCCTCGCCTGGGGGCTACGCATTCTAGGCACTGCTTTGCTCTTCAGGAGCCTCATTGACTCAAACCTCCCCAAAAGGAAGACTAACTACCCATAAGAGCAAATACACAGCGGGAAGAGGAGCTGTTCCCTCGGCATACAAATTCCACACCCACTGCAGCAAAGTCTTCCTCCTTTCCGCCTTCTCAGCGTGATCTCTAAAGTTCTGGCGGGGTCACCCCAAAATGAACAGCTCGACCTAACGGAGGCCGCCCAGCTTTGGCCGATTCATCAGGCTACTTACCCACAACCATTACTTCCTCCTTGGTGCTCACGCTACCTCTTCATGAAGGGGTAGAGAGCATGTTAGAGGATTTTCAAATTGTTTTGAATTGTAACAACAGTGAATCTTAAAAGAGCAACCACGAGTCACCAAAATCCAGGGCTGACGTTCAGAGACATGGAACAAGAAGACACCCCACGGGACACTGACAGAGATCCCCAACACATGGCTATTTCTGTTCTCAGCAGATGGTGGCGCCCCCATGTGGCAGCAGCGTTAAATACAGGAACACACAGCCTGCAGGGAGCTAAGCAGGGACCGAACACACTCCAAAGGTGGCATCTCAATCTCTGCTGTCCAGCTTTGGAATCCTGCTATTCTCAGTGATTGTTTGATCTTGCTTTTAATGGCGAGAGTGTACATTACTTCAAATTTTGCTCACAGGTAGTTTTATATGCTTCAATTTCAAGTTCAAGCAATTAGAATCCACATGAGATGCAAGCACACTGTGAGCTTAGTGCCAGGCCGGGGACCCAGCTGCAGGGCAGATGGGCCTGGCCCTGCCCTGGGAGAGCTGGCCAGGGGAGGAGGTCATCTCTATATGAGGACGAAGTGCTATGACGAGGGAAGGGGCTGCAGGAGCACAAGGGCCAGCGAACCCTGACTTTGTACAGGAGAGGGGGTATTCAGGGAAGACTTCCTGGAGGCGATGACAATAAGTTGTAACCAGAAGGATGGATGCTAAGAGCTGCCCAGGAGACAAAGGAGAGGAATGGCACACACAAAGTCTGAGGAGCAAGTCAGAGCCTGTGGGGAGGCTGAGCAGTGCTGGGGGGTTAAGCAGGATGGCATACCAGGCTGGGGAGGCAAAGTGGCCAGGGCCAGATCAAGGGCCTTGTGGCCCCACTAAGGAGTCCAAAGAGTGACACGCAAAGATCCTCCTTGCTGCTGAGAATGGGCAGTGGGGCAGGCACTGGCCTGGAAGACCAGCTAACTAAGTCTCCCAGAAAGCCAGGATCCCAGCTCCCCTTTGCTCATAATTCCCTTGCCCATTCTGTTTTCCATTTGATTCATAGGAGAAAGGAGGACCACATGCTTCAGAGTAAGAACATCACTTGACCATACATCCTGGATCATAAGAAGAAAGACAAATTAGAAAGGATTTTAACACAAGAACTGCAGCCTTTCCACCTTACTGTCACCATCACTCTGAGATAACTGTGCTGGTGACAGGGGTGGGGCTGTTATGTGACACTGAGTCCTCTGGGGTCAGCAGGAGGAGGGGAGGCCAGGTTAGGCCAGGTTTCCAGTTAGGGAAGTGAACGAGGTGTTAAGTGCATTAAGAGACACAATAATTAGCACATTAGATATTATCATAGTAACGCCAGACTTAGGTTCTGTTACTATACTTACTTGCCAAGACTTCTAGAGATTAACTGGCACATGGTTGTGCATGAAGTAAGTGGCCAAATTATGGGTGTGGATCATGACAGTAATTTAATATAGATCCATTCAAATTATAAATTCCAGGGGACAGGGACCCATCTGTCCCGTATCCCCAGGACCTAAAACACAGCCTGGTATATACAGCAGGTGATCAGTAAACTTATCGGATGAATCATATGACCAGAGCCTGCCCTCCTAGGCCACCCTCCCCACCACCCCCAGAAACCTGGAACAGTATGGGACAAATGAACGTGTGCAGGAGAATAAGCCACAGGCACCCATGTTAAAGGTCACTGCGTGCACGGCCGCCACTTAGACAAGCTGGACAGCTCTGTGGTGTAACAAGGCCCACCTCTCTGGCAGATCAGGCCAAAGGACAAGGACCTGATAACGCCTTTCAGACATCCCCGCCCCTGGAGAGCCCAGGGCACAGGGGACTCCCTGGGACAGAATTCCCAGTGTTCCCACCCCATCACGTCCCATTATCCAGGACACATAATGTTCTCTCTTCCTTCTTTTTTTATTTTTGGGGAGGAGGTAATTAGTTTTATGTATTTATTTATCTATGGAGGTACTAGGGATTGAACCCAGGACCTCATGCATGCTGAGCACATGCTCTACCAGGGAGCTATTATCCTGCCCCCTCTTCTTTTTTTATTTATAAGAAAACCAGGTAATGGTGAAGTAGGGCTTAGGTTTAAAATCAGGGTATATGCAAATCAAAACTACAATGAGGTATCACTTCACACCAGTCAGAATGGCCATCATTCAAAAGTCCACAAACAATAAATGCTGGAGAGGGTGTGAAGAAAAGGGAAGCCTCCTACACTGTTGGTGGGAAT